ATTCTCCATAGGCTCCACCCATTGTTTGGCCCAGTGCGGGTGTAAAGGCTGCCGGGAATCTTCAGTGTCTGAGCACCCCGTTATGGGTGGGAACGTCCCAAGGGGGCCGGGTGGGAATTTAGGGGTTAGGGTTTAGGGTTTAGTCTCCATTTTGCAAACATCCCCTTAATCCTCCAAGCGCTCAACCATGGCAAGTGTTGCAAAGATGCGGAGACTCTTGTGCGTGAATCTAGATGCTGTAGAAGGGCAGCGGAACAGACAAGGTGAGGGGCATCACTGCGCAGGCTGGACTTCAAAAGAGCCTAACCTGTGAGGGGTCCAAACGTCGCAATAACTGAATGAACGAAGCCAAGTCGCCAAGATTTTAAGCTTCCATGGTCTTTCTACTTATAGCGTAAACTGAATAAATTTGGAACGCTGGATGACCGGTTCCTCTGGACTCTACATCAACGGCCTGGGGAAAAATGACGTTCCGACTGTCTGTTTTCTACTGTATCCGAATCCCTAGACACTACACACCTAGGCTGTACACTGCAACTCACAATCCCGAAGGCCTTGATCCCGAATCGGCAGGCCTTGCTCCAATTCTATCAAGATCTGGGGCACACCATGCCACACTACAGGCCCAAAGGGCCGGGGGGGGAGGGCTTAGGGTTCAGGGATCTAAAGACCATCTTCCCTAAGCCCGGGGCTTCATGAGCAGGAGGTGCTTAACCTCCGGGTCCCCTTTGTATCAGGGAAGGTTCCAACTTTTGAGACGCAGCCTCGTCTTACGGTTTAGGGTTTTAGGGTTTTAGGGTTTAGGGTTTAGGGAACGAGCTTCATGCCATGTTCCAGACCGCAATATGGGGTTCAAGGTTTGAGGTGTATTTAAGGGTTTAGCGTTTAGGCCCCCCACCTCCGAAGCCCAGGCTTTGAGGTTGCGTGAAGGTCTTTGGGGTCTGGGTTTCTGGCCGTGACCAGGGGTTCGGCAAGTGGCAACAAGTCAGACGATCCCTGCACCTTAAATCATCAAACCTCAAAAACTCTAAACCCTAAACTCCCTAAACTCTAAGCCCTAAGCCCTAAGCCCAAAGCCCTAAACCCTCAACCCTGAACCCCTAAACCCTGAACTCTATAAGCCCTAACTCCTAAACCATCATGTTTCCATTTTACTTTGCCCTTTTTGAACGGGGTGAGCCGACACTCACACTAGGGTGTCGAGCTGAAGTCCCAGAGCTTTGGGTTTCCTTCTTCTGGAGTCCTCCTTTCATAGTAATAATAGTAGTAATGATATAGGTAATAATAACAATAATAGTAATACGACCGACGCTTCAGGGTTCCTTGATATCCTGAACTGAGTCCTCCAAAGGTAGGGTATTTGGATTTAAGGTAAGCTCAAACCCTTCAGATTGTGGACTACTGGATGGAACTGGTGCTGGTGAAGGGATCGCGGCTATTACACGGTTGAGGGCTATTCCGGCTAGTCCTACGCATTGAGCATTAGGGCGCTCATAAGGGTTCTAATTTCCAGCAGCATCGAAACATGCAAGCTACATGAAGTTCCGAAGCAAAAGCTCACTTTGAAAAATGGTGCAGGTGCCCAAGGGACAACCCATCTGAATTCAATTTATGATGCAACTCTTCTCTCGCCCACAGCACAAGGAAGAGGGAAGGAAGAGCTGAAAGGAAAGCCCTGGCACAGAGGGCGCTGTTTCTAGGAGCCGGCGTTAAGATCAGCACCCCTCGCTTCTAGGGATCAGCATCGCAGGACCTGGCTTATATAATAGTAAACTAGAAGACGAGTGGCCCGAAAGCATCATTAGCCATGAGTTTTGGAGCTATGTAATTGGCGCTATGTAACGTCACGGGGTCGAGTGTATAAAGTCTTAGATGGCAGTGCGTGGAGTCAAGTACATAGAGTCATATGGTCTAGTGCGTGGATGCTTAGTCTAG